TTTCCCCCGGGGGGGGGGGGGGGGGGGGGTGGGGACGGTGGCATGTGATGGAGCCTGACTAGTGTTGGGCCAGTTAAACACCAAAAAAAATAAAAAAAGAGAAAGGCAGAGGGGGGAAGCGAAGAAACATGGAGAACAGCTCCTCTCCTGCCCTCCAGAGCACGGAGTTAAACCGGGGAGGTGGGGACACGACCCCTCCTCCGGCAGAGCAGCAGCCCCAGGCACCGCCTTTCCAGGGTGCCCAGCGCCAGGCACAGCCCCGGCTGGCGGCAGAGCCCCCGCCTGCCCCCGGCCACGCACAGTGCCGGGCTCCTGCTCCCTCGCTGTCCTTCCGCCCGGCCCTGGGAGGGGAGAGCAGTTCAGGTGGCAGTTTGATGGCATGGCTGACGGTCCATGAGGGCAGCATCGTCCTCAGCGCTCTGCCAGGCACAGTTGGATGCCGGGGCGGCCGAGCTTCGCACTCCAGCCCCCGGTGCAGTCCGGCTCCTGCCTCCCTTATAGGAAACCCTCCTTCCGGAACTGCTCCTTCAGGATGTCTCGGTACTGGTCGAAGCCACCCTCGATGCGGGTGACGGTGGCATTCTCGCACACCCACAGCTCCTGGCACACCAGGCGGATGAAGCGCTCGTCGTGGGACACCAGAATCACACCACCCTGCCAACACACGGAGTGGGGGATGGAGCTTAGTGGAGCATGACCCAGGGTCCAGCACTGGTGGCATGGAGATCCTGCGCCCCTGTCCTGCCTGTGCCCAGGACTTCTGGTTTCCATCTGCTCCAGGGAAAACTCAACGGTACTTCACTGGCAGGGACCTAATCCCAGCCTTTCCTTCCTTCAACGGGACAGACAGATGTCTAACGTATGGAGGAGACACGTGCCACAGTAATGCATTCGGCCTCCCCTTTCGGAAGGCAAGTGCAGGGTTTGTTACTGGCTCTCCAGGCCTCCAACAACTGCAAGGATGGAGATTCCAGGTGGAGTCAATGACAGTCAAGAGGCGGCTGGACCAGGCCCTGAGCAACCTCAATTAAGCTTTTCTTTCACAGGAAAACTGTCCCAACCTGAGCAACTATAAACCAGTGAGAACCAGGCTGATCACAGCGGTACCTGCAGGCTGAGTCTTTGGAGATCAGCCATAAACCGCACCTAAGGAAGAGCCGAGAGGCCCCAAGGCAGGGCTGAGCGCTGCATGCAGCACATAGCAGCACGTGAGAAGTCATGGAGTGTAGGTGACTGGCCAAGATGGGGGACAAGGTGCGCTCTGGTCTGGCTCTGTTGCCTCTCACAGCCACCCCTAGCCAAAGCCAGCAAGTGAAACAAACCATCAGGATGGGTGGCTAAGGCAGAAATGTGACCAACCCTTCCCAACATCTGTCCTGCACTTGAAGCCATCGCTGCTATTGGACTGTCCACCTCTGGCTGAGATACCAAGTCACCCGAGCTGGAGGCTGCAGGGAGCGTTAGAAAAACAGGAGATGTCACCAAGGGAGCCTTACCCGGAACTTGTTTAGTGCCTTTGCCAGTGCCTCGATGGTCTCCATGTCCAGGTGATTTGTTGGCTCATCTAGGATGTAGAAGTTTGGGCTGGAAGAGAAGATGGCTCTGAAAGCATGGACTGGAACAGGCCCGGGCTGGGTCTTCTGCACCCCTTTGCACTGCAGGGACCCCCACCAGGCTGCGGCCTTAGCCATGAAAAGCTGCAGCCACCAGCATTTGCATGGCCCCAAGATTGGCATTGCCCAGCTCCAGCGACACCTCTTATTCCCGTGAGCCCCAAGCAGCAGGAGAAAGCCACCTGCCCCCTTCCACACAGTCCCCCAGGGTGACAACCTCCCTCCCCACAGAAGTCCCAGAGATGAGGCTTCCGTGGGGCAGCACCAAGTCCCCAGGTGCCCACCTTCTTCCCGGTGAAGCAGGCTCCAGGGATGGAGCGGTGCAAAAATTAACAACATCTGGGAGAAAATTACCAGGACATAGTCATCTGGGCAAAGGCCACGCGACTCTTCTGACCTCCAGACAGGCTGGCCACGGGACGCACAGCCAGCTCCCCTGAGACGCCGTAGCTCCCCAGCTGATGCCGGTACTCCTCCTCTGTCTTCCCTGCAGGAGCGTGTCACAACAGAGCTATGGCACACCTGGCGTGACACAGGGCCCTTGGCGCAGTGACCTTGGTGGGCGCCGCAGCCACGCAGCCTGTGCCAGACCAGCACGGCAGGGAAGGAATTC